TCTTTTCTTTTTTTATCGTTGTACAATGCTACAGTAGTATCATCATTAACATCTACTTATTATGAATATCTATTTCTTGTCAGTATGTATTAAGTATAATGTAATCATAGAAAATTCTTATTTATCAATATCATAGTCTTATCAATATCAATATTGCAATCATATTACCTGTATAAAGTACTTGTACTTCTGATTCAACATAAATTAATTGTTTGAATAGTGAATAATATTATTAAATAGTATTATTAATAGTATTATTAATAGTATTATTTAAATAGTATTATTAAATAGTATTATTAATAGTATTATTAATGGTATTATTTGAACAGTATTATTAATTAATTATCAATCAAACTTATCCGTTCAAGAGATCAAGAGAAAAACTAGCAAGTATTTGCATTCTTCTTCATGTAAATTTTAGAGGATTTATGCTATCCTGATGATATCACATATTTTAACTTATAATATAATAAATAAACGAATAAAATATATCATCATTGACATCATTAATAGAGAACTAATTGTATTTAACAATGTTGTCAACCTTTTTATATTTGATTTGGAAATTTGATCATAAAAAAAAAATTTGATCATAAAATTGATCGCTTCTTTTTCAGTTTGCTTCGATTTTGATCCATTTGAATTTTGTACGAGAAGACGAGCATTTTGTGAAATATGAAGACATATGCGGTTAAGATGTCGAAGACCGTGTCAATTTTGCTAATATTTCATCTATTTGGTCGATATATTTCGACAATTCAAATTCAATTCTATTTTCATTCAAATTTGTGAATGGAGTAAATAAGTCTAATATGAAATCGAATATGAATCTAGTATTAATATAACGATACAGTCAAAATATTTACTATCAAACTGCTGAGAATTCAAACTTTCTTGAAAATTGTAATATTTTTTCTACAAAGATTCGAATACATTTCCACTAATTATTCCTGAAACTTTGTGATTAGAAATACATTTCAAATCACATTGTATCTCCAATTACAAATATTCATTCTCGAGAACTAAAAAACCTAAATGAAATGAGTTAATAAAAATTGACAATCAAAAAACTTACCACTAAATTGCTAAAATTAGATTACACTAAAATCAATCTGCAGAAATTTAAATACAATTTTCATTGATTGCTGTTGTCATGCATCATTTATGATGGTATGCAAATAACTCTATCCAAGAAACAAATGAATGTGATTAAGTATTCGATTAGTATTTAAGTTCTTGTATCGCATCTAATTAATATGCAAGTTTTTTATGCACTGCATAATGCAACAACAATGGTAATATTATCTTATAATACCTGATATATTTTTTTTAATCTAAAATAATTAGTGTAAATATGAATGACAAATGAAATGGAATAAATATGTAGCTTACAGAAATCATTTGCTGGATCGCCGAACACATTATTAAAAATATAGTGATATGATTTTCGACAGGTAAGGTTAAAAAAAAAAACGCGCAATAGGCATGTTTAAGAAAACAGCATGCAGTAAGCAAGGTTAATAAAAGAGCATGCAGTGAGCAAGGTT